GTTCGCGCTCACCGTGAAATTGACCGGTTACACTTATAATTAAGCATACAATGGTTTTATAACTGTCCGTTCGTCTGCATCGAATGACGGCCGATTCATCTTAGTTCGATCGATAAATGCAATAATACGGGAATCTTACATTTACTATGACATATGCGAATAATCGACGTTTGCGCTCGCGCGCGAAGATGCGCGCTCTTTCGATAAAAGACACGGTACTTTCACACCGCGAGTGGAGATTTTATATAAGCTTGGTTAGCCTGGTTAAATCCGTCCGCTATTAATGTTCCTTATTATATAGGCATACTTTTCTCAAAATATTAGATCGTTGCATATGAGAGAGATATTGATGTTAAATATATTATGTTAACAATTTCTAAATGATTTTTCCAGATAAAACTCTATATTATATATATACATTTTATAAATTTTTCAATTTTCTACATTTTCCTTATAGATTGAAAATTGTAAACATTTTGCAAAAATTGAAATATACTTTCATAAAAAAAAAAGGATTATATTACTTCCCAACATGATATATAATGTCTATAAATCTTAAAAAGAACAGTATTTTCTGAACAATATAGAGAGGTATAATAAGACATCTGGTCAACACGTTTTAGTTTTACGAGCTAAAGGACAAGAAAATCTGTTTCGGATATACCTAAGACTGTCTCTTCTCGCTAGCCTAAGGACATCGGTAAATTCAACTGTTTCCGAAGGTCCGACAGGCAACGAAGTGTGTGGGGAAAACAAGCAGAACTGGTCTCTGGTACTCGCGCGATATTAAAATACGCGGAATCCTTCGATCAGCTTCATCGCAACTCGCAATAATAATCCTGGCCCTTTTGCAGCTGTTTCATTTGTCAAGCAAGGAACATTGTCCTCGATTAACTATCAACGCAAATTTCTAAGGACCAACTAGAGCTCGCGAGAACATTATTACTCTTATCAATGCAATAAATATAGAATTAAATTACTGAGAGAGAATGTGTCATGTAGACCCAAGTCACGATCTGAGAAATGTAATAGTAAACTGTTAAAACAACGTTTTGAAAACAGACGCAGGAAAAGGTGGATACCTTCCTGTCGTGCTGCCCTGCTCTCGTGATTTCTACAGTCGTTTTCCACTGTAATCCCTTTGTTCATTAATGCTAATACAGAGGTTGCCGTGGGTAATGCAATACATTCAAGTGGTCTAGACATTGCATTGAATAACATATTACATTCTCATGATGAAAATTATATGTTGAGAGTAAAGTTGCAACTTTGACATATCGAATTTTATTTGATAAAAAAATCAATTTTCTTGCCATTTGATATGATATGTTTAAATGATACCTACTTTTTATCATTATATAATACAATCATAAATGTATATGTAATATTATTACATATATAATGTTCGGGATTATCTATATATCAAATCACATGGTATTGTCTTATGGCGTAATTGGAGTTTAACCGAATAGCAAATATGCATAGATAATGCTAAAAAGAGAAAAAGTTACGCAAGATTCGTTCGCGATTGCGATCAAGGTGAAAGTCTTTGAGCTCGGTAGAGCGAGTCGTATCAGAAGGCAAGTCTCGTAAATTATAGGCAATGTCGCGTTGAAGAATGTCCTTTAACAACGAGGAATCTTTCTCGGGTCGTTCGAGGATAATCGTGCTTCATGGTTACTCACGATAACGTTTCTCATCCTTTTTCACGGAACGGTCCAGCAGCGATATGGATTCGTTCCTGGCGATCTGCTCGCCAAGATGAATAGAAGTTTATCGTGCGAATCCCCAAGAATTTTAATACAATTATCTCGCTTTTATATCCAGTGATCGTAATCGCGAGTCGCAAATGTACGCCTTTCAAGCGGATTAATTCTAACACGTCACGCTGAATCACGCGAGCTCAAATTTTTATCCTAGCGATCTAGCGGAGAATATCGTACAGGATATATGAAAAGTATTATATTATCCTTTATATGAAATGAATCACTGCCTAACAAACTTTATTTTAAAATATCTCTTATTTTAAAATCTTTTTAACATCGTAAAATTGCATAAACATTTTTATAATTAATATTATACAGAATAAAACGTAAGTTATATAGTACGACCTTAGCGAGAATGTAATCTTTTATGTAAAAATTAAATAAATGGGAAGTATATACAATAATTTTTTATACGAAATTTAATTCTTGAGAAAAAAATCTTAAAATTATCTTTCTACTTTTTAAAATTATTTTTACACAAAAAATCACGTTCTTTTCGATATGTCACGAATTACGAATAATCTTATTTTGTATAATATGATTGTAATGGTATGTATTTGTATCATATCAAATTTGAAATTTAATTTACAAATATAGTTTTTCAAGAGTATTTAATGATATATGAAAAAAATGTTAAATTACTATTATATTTTATAAAACTTTTTATAGAAAATATATAGAAGATTTTTAATTACGCGTACGTTTAATGACTTTGTTATAGCTTTTTGATCTAATTATAAGTTCACCCCGGAGAAACCACAGATACGGAACGATGTTACGATTGCACTTTTTTTCGCGAACGTAAGACACTTTCACTGAAATATGTAAGATACGTCGAATTTTTTTGTAACAGAACATACGCGTTGTAGTGAAGTGCGAAAAAAAAGATAACGTAACAAAGTATACACATTTAGTTAAATTATAGACTGTGATATATGACAGACGGAAAGAGAGGATTTAATTAATTGGTCATTTTCGAGATAATTGTACGTTTTGAGATAAAAGGAAACGATTATATGAAGAACGTTACCTCGCGCGAAGATTATTACGGTATTAAAAGTTAATGCGCTCTATCTAGCGTTATCTTGGCGCATCCATTGCAAATCAGTAATCAGAAGTTATTAATATTAATACAAAAATAGCACCATTATAAAAAAAACTATGTGTTAATTGCTATTAGTGTAATTGTTTTTCCTCATAAATACATGAAAATACAAAATGAAATATAAGATAAAAAACTCTGTTATATAATTTGATGTCTGCTGCTCATTCGACGCAAAGCTCCTGATCTATGTATATTAAAGGAGTGAAATATTCGAAAGCAATTCTCGTGACTTCTCAGAAAATCTTAATATGCTACTGCTATATCCCTCCCGCATAGATGATGTGACGGAAGAAAGATCGCGCACAAAATCGAGCCGGGTAAACGTCGAGCTCCTTCCTCGAGAGGACTCTTCGCGTTAGCTCCGGGGTGAATCAGTCCTTTATGCCGAGCTCTCTCAGGGTCAACCACTTTCGGTGCAGTATATACCTTGGACGGTTTATATGTACACTCGCAAACACACACTCGTCCGTTCCGAGCGTGCCTACAGGGTGTCTTGAAAATCGCCGCATATAGTCAAGAATATTACTAGCTGGCTAGATGTCGGACTGACTCACCGCGCTTCTTCGAGAGTCGCATCCTCTACAAAAATAAGATTGAATCCGGCCAGAAATACCTACGTGTTGCTTCAACGAGAATGAACGCATAAAGACGAATCTATCGAGAATCTTGGAAATTGTGTACCTCCGTGTAAACAAAATTATAAATAAATACATTTATATAACATTTTGCTTTTTTATCAATTGATTGAATCATGCAATAGTTTAGCTTTAAATCTTTTGTCAATTCAATCAACAGCAATTAAGAAATCGATGAATTAAAAAACATAAAGTAGGTAGACAAGAAATTGTAGAAAGATGTTTATATTATTCTGAAAAAGATCAAATCATTCAACGTTTTTGCTTATTCTTCAAGGTCTTAGTCTCATCGTTAGTATATCTACTTTTTGTAAACAAATTAGACTTACGCGTTGTATTACGCAACGTTGTGCATGCGTCCAATCCTACGTTTCGATACATAACTATAGATAATAATGCAAATAGCAGAAAAAGATCTCACGTGTGCATTAAGCAGCAAAAAAAGGAGCTGGAAATTGCCGCGTTAAAAGCTCATTAGATGTTAGGATGTTTATTTGATTCTTAAACGTTCGAAGAGATTCATTTCGGCTGAAGTGGTTGCTTCGAGAGAAACGACGCTTTCCATCGTCGGGTTCTTCAGCGGTTAAAAGGGAACTAAACCTCATTGTTTCTTTTCTCTGGCGGATCCCGTCAGTTTATTGGCTCGACGCCGTTCAAAGTCAAAAAAATAATCCAAATAGACTATCCTGCGCGAGAGATTGAGGGATTGAAGATGGTGGGAGGTTCGCAGAAAACGCACAAGAGAACAAGGAGAAAGACTCGAGCATAGGGTATAGCGAATTCGTCTTTGCCGGCAGCGAAGGATGTTTCTCACGAAATTTCTCATCGCGATTCGCTGCTGATTCACTCTTGACATCTCGTACCCAGCCGAAACAATTCAGCGATGCGATCAGACCGCAAATATCTTTCTCCTTTTTTTTAATAGTCCCGCGCTGCGATTGAGTCAGCGTTAAGACGTAATTGATTTTTGCATTCGGCAAACAGGTTCGATAAATCGTTCCGCGAGGATATCGGTAGGATAAGCCAGCAAAACGTCTCTCTTTCTCATACACACATATACACACGCGATTCTCATATCTCCCTCTCTTGTCTCGTGCGAAAATACTCAAGTCTGCTTCTCTACCGCTGATGTCATTGACGCGAATCCACGTTAGTTAGCGCTCGATAGATAGCTCGACAAGTTCTATAATAGCTCTAACGATAATTAAGTTTAATCAATCAAATTCACAGTTTGATTAACAGTGGCGAAAGAACCTAGAGAATATTTAGAAGAAATTTTGACAAGAGAGAATTGAAAGTTAAATTAACTTTATAATTTCCCTCGATATTTCTTCTGCTATACAATTTAAAATCCGTCGAATAAAATAAATAATTTAATGTAATACAAAGATTGTAATAGCATTATTTTAAAAAAAGAGACAATTCTCGATTTCCGAAAATATAAATTGACAAAATAATTTTCGCTGTAAATAATAATGTGATTTTCTTTTACAGGAACGAGACGCATGACAGACGAAATCAGGGGAGCGTTATTAGGTGAGAGCTCAGTAGCTTTTGGCGACACGATCGAGAGATGTCGGATGCCGCCGGCACGGACAATCCGGCGTTCGCCAGCGAGAACGAATGCGGTTCGAAGACGGAGAACGGCGGCCAGCAGCAAGTGACCTCGGATCAGGATCGCAAGTCCTCCTCGGCGGATTGCGCGCCGGTAGAAAATGGCCAGCGATCCTTCATCTCTAAGCATTACGTCGAGCCCGTCAAAGCGAAAGCGTCGGAGTCGTGTTATAAAACGGAAACGAGGATCGAATTGCCGGCCGAGAACACGGAGAAGAACGTATCGGAGCCAAAGCTCAATGGCGTCCACGGAAATGGGAATAACAACGACGCCAGCTTCCTCAACAACAGCACCACGAGCGTGCAGGTCAACGGTAAGTTCAAACGTATCCTGATACGACCCTCTACCACCCTCGACGCTAAAGCGCAACACGTGCTACACAAGCGAGTGTCTATGAGTTTGAAATATTACGGACGAGGACGTGAGAAAAGGTTATTCTATATAATTATATATACATTTTATCTAATTTTATATTATTATATATAAAATTATATTTATTATAAGTGATTGCACGTTTCTAAAGAAGATAAAGCTAACGATACTCGTGTGTATGTACATACATATGTAACATATGAATAGAAAAAAAAATAATATGCAATCGTTTTGGAAGAACTCATCAATTTTCTTTACATTATTATTTCAACAAGTATAGAACTTTCATTTTGATTGCATTACCAGTTTGTCAAGAAAAAATCGTTTGGGGTCGGAGAAACCTCAGAAAGTATCGCACATGGATGTTTTTCATTGCGGATTCGTCGATGCACATCGCATTAATGTATCTCTGTCATATTCCGATCGTTTTTCCATCTCGACATGTATTTAATAGTATTGGCAATAACAACGACTTGTGACATAATTTTCTCTCTTCTGTAGATGTACTACGTTATTTAAATTTAATCGAATTATATATATAATTATTATATTTACTTCTTTTTTCGTGATTAATTATTAAGTTGTTATTTTCTTTATTAACACATCGTTTTCACATTTCATGTAAATTTTCATTCCTCTCATTACACTATTCGAAAAGCAGGAAATATCTGATCCTGTTTAGCCTCATCAGTATTTCGCGGAATGTAGTTTCTCTGCTATTTCACTATGCGACCGGAAAATACAAACCGGTTGCACCCTACGTACAAATATATCCTGATAGTAAACGGTTTCCCGTTTTCTGCAGAATCTGGAAAGAAGGAACAGATCGAGGCCGTAAACCTGGAACTGGTCTCGATGAGGCCATACACGGGTAACAATATTCAAACGAAAGGTCAGGAAGCTTGCGAGGTACCAGCTGATCCTTACGAGGAATACTTTGTACCGGTTAACGAGCATCGAAAGTACATCAGGTAACGAGTTGTTTGTCGAAGAAAAGTTGTTTGCGCTTATGCATTTTTGTGTTTCCTTCTATCTCTGTCTCCTAACTCTTATTAACTGTTTTTCGTGACAATTGTTTACCAGCCCGGCGTGCGTATAAATTCTTCCGAATATTAGAAACAGAAAGCATAATAACAAGAGAAAAAGAAAGAAAAAATGTACAGCTTACAATCTTCATCCTCCAAGTATACATATATATAATAATAATTATTATGATTGTTTCTCTTTCTAAATAAATATGATGAAGATTTTTCGTCATTACTATAAAATATTTATTTAATAATCTAATTGAAGATAATGTTTATATAACTTAAATTAATAAATTAACTTAAATAAAAATATTATATAAATAAAAATATGCTACAAAAATATAAACTACACGTGCAAGGGACTTTGCACGTTTGTATATAGACTTAAATTATTAAAGTCACATATTGAATATAGAAGGTAATGATGACGCGCAATGTTTACATTCATCTCAATTATATCCCTTAATACAAACCATATTACGAGGCATTATGCGTATCACGTAGCGAACGTTCGGAATATAGAATAGAGATGTATTTCCTAGAGAGACATATCACCACGTGTATCTGTTCTGTGCTGAGAAAGTCGTCAAGACAGTAGAGATGCCTCAGCACCGTTTTTAGCTCGAGCAGAGAGCATAGTACAGCTTGGTACCGCTGATTGAAAAGTCTCAAATTCGATAGAGAGTTAGACGGTGTTTTCTGTTGTCACGATACTTAGCAGGGATCCCGAGGCCGAGGTTGAAACGACCGTGGCTGGAGTGCGTTTTGATTTGGGCCCGGGTGTCGGCCGCGAGGGACTCAGCCTGAGAGACCCTACCGCCGGACTGGTCGACTATTCCCACTGGCTGACAGCCCTCAGGTACTTGACGGTTACTTTCGAGGATGATGAAAAAAAAGCTGGGAAAAACTCTTAGCGGAATACTTAAGCGTTTCTTATGGGCACGCGGTCGCGCATTAACACGCTTACGCTACCGCTCCTCCCTCCTCGAATTGGATATGTATGTTCCCCCGTAAAGACTGCACGTCCACAAATTCATACAAAATCCATACGATGAAAAATCCATACGAAATACAAAGATGAGACAATCTCGATCACTGAATGTACGAATTATCGACGATTAACCGATGAGGTTGTTAATCTCATTGTAATATCACGATCAGACACGTAGACTTAATCTCGTTTTATCGTCATTTTTCGTAATCAGATACTGAAATGAGAAAGTGCGTGACACTTTACATACGGAATATGATCAAGAAATTAGGCATTCGTGGAGGAAATTAAACTGAGGTGTGATGTACCAAGAAAGCTTCTAATCCTATTGGCTGGTCCCTGACGAAGGTTGCTAAGAATCGCGCTGTACAAAATATGCTTTCTGGGTTTAGAACAAGGAAAACATTTAAATGCGCGCAACGGATTCGCCATTTTTCTACGTAGCATCAAAATTATGTTACAGAGGCGAAAAGCTTTACGTCACAAAGGACAAAAGGTCTAGAAACTCGCACTGGAAACAATTACTCTGCGGATTCACACTAGTGGTCGTGGCGATCGCCCTAATTATTATTATTTTGGCCGCAAGTAAGATATCTTATTATCTTTTTGTAAATTTTGTTTTTTTATAAAAATTTATTAGAGATCTATTTAATATATAATTTTTTGTTATATAAGTATTAAATAAAATTGTTCAAAACTCTTTATTTTAGCTGGTGTAATCTTTACACAAGAGGCTGCGGAATCTTTGGAAAATGAGAAAGAGAATACTCGTCAGTTCAGCGATATAAATGTAGCTGAAAATCAAGAATATATGAAGAATCCACCGTCAAGTCCATCACCTTTAACCTCGACTTTCCCATCGTGGCCTACGACTGACGAAACGCTGTATCAAATTATACCGAATGCTTTAGATGGAATCCTGCGACTGGATGATTTCGATTGGAATGATTTAAGCAATACCAAGTCACGAGTGTATCGTCAAATAACCGCTGAAATAGAAAAAAATCTAGGAAATATCCTTACACGAGAGAATAATGCGCCTATAATTAAAGTATATAATATCAATAATGAAGGTGAAATAAAATTCAGAATAAGTTATCCACCTATGGATACTCCTGAAAAGAATCAGGAATATATCGAAGAAACATTACGAAAAAATAGTAATAAGATTGGACAGTATCATTTAAGCAGACTTCAAGTAGAAAAGCTTATTGATCAGTGTGAACACGGTAATCTCCAATGCGCCGAAAGTTGTAAATATGACTATTCCGCGGGTATATTCATATGTACCTGCAGTTCAGAAAAAATGCTGGATCAGGATGGAAAAACTTGTGTGGATAACGATTTAAGTAATGTCGACATGGATGATGTAATGTCGCAATCCAGCACGGAGTCAAATCATGATTTGGTTCAAGGTAGAAGCAGAGATCCAAATATAGCACAATTCGAAATCAGACATTCAAATACGTGGGAAAATCCGGATGTCAAAACAGGATCAACAGAAATGGATACATCTACATCGGAACCTAGAACGGAACACGATCATTCACAACAAAAATCGGTACATCAGTTCGAATCTACAACAAAACATATTTTCGAAAACGATCATTTCTGGAATCATGGAGATTTGCATCCTTCGTTGGAAAGCATCTTTAATAAAAAGCCTGCTGCTGAGCCAGAACCAACAGCTGAACCAGAGCCTACAGCTGAACCCACTGCCGAGCCAGAACCCACTGCCGAGCCAGAACCTGCTGCTGAACCAGAACCTGCTGCCGAGCCAGAACCTGCTGCCGAACCAGAACATGCTGCTGAGCCAGAACCTGCTGCTGAATCAGAACCTGCTGCTGAGCCAGAACCTACTGTTGCAGTCATTGTCCCACCAGAATCCACTCAATCAGGATTAAACATCGAATCGGAGCCTACATCAGAACCTGTATCAGAAGTCTCTACAAAAACAGAAATTGTTCCTAAAATCGACTCTACTACTGAAATAGAATCTATTACTGAAAGAGAACCTGCTACGGAACCGGTATCTGTCACAGAATCGACGACAACTTTTGATGAAACAGATGATGTAATATCGAAAACAGAATCACATTCAGAGTCAAATACTGAAATATTTAATCAACCGAAATCTATTGTTAAATCGACATCTCATGATGATGTCGAATCTACACAAATATCACTTTTAGATGACTCGAATACAACTAACGTCCCTAAATCTTTTGCAGATTCGATACAAGAAAATAAAAATTCCAAAATTGATAAAACTTTGATTACAACAAAGACTGAAAATCCGATAGATGATAATGTACCCTTGCAAGTAATACCTTTAACATTCGAAAATAAATCTACAGATACAAACGATAATGTGGAAATTAAAATGGAATCAACAACAACTCAATCTTATACTAATAAGGACGATAGAATTAATGAAAGTACAACCATTGAAACAAGTTTTACTACTTTAAATTATGAAGATTTAAAACAAAATAATAATGACAATATTATATCAAATAAATCTCAAAATCATGAAAAATCAAATACAGAACAATTTACGCAAAATCCCGATCTTCAAGAAGAAAAAGAAAATGATTTTACAAAAATAAATGTTGATGCAAATCTCAGCAATAATTCTATGATTAGTAAAGAATTTAATTCAATTACTGTGACAACTACCATGTCAACTATATCAGTAGAAAATGAAACAGAATTAAGTATGGGAACCACGCATAATGATAAACATTCTCATACGATAGAAATAAATGGCATAAATAATAAAAATCAAGAAACATATAATAATCCTAAAATATATGAGACAACCATGATACCAGAAATTACTTCTTCTGACATGTCTACTCAATCGATATCTAATCAAAAAGAACACATATTCGAATCCTCATTACAATCTGATACGCAAGATTCGAATGAGAAAAATGTCATCGAACATATGCCGACAACAGTCTTCCCTAAAATACCGAAAAATTTTGCCCATAACGTCGAGCCACTAAAAGAACCTATCACGAAACCGGCAGACGATGAGCACATCATGCTGATATCGAAACCCGAGGAACCAGTAGAGATACACGCGATAATTCCACAACTCACCCCGGAACAAAGTATATCCACACAAAATGAAACTTTGAAAGCAGAAAACTCGACAGAAATAAATAATGGAGTTGTGATTAATGAAGACTCGAATACAAAAGAATCTGTAAAAGATATATTCTCGAGCGACTCATCTACAGTACATAATGATAAAAATATCGTCTATACGGGTAGTAATGGATATACGATTCACCCTGACGAGATTCAACATTCAACGCATCATCCTCTTCATCCGGCGATACTACCAGAAAATTCGGTAAATCATTTTGCGGGAAAATCTGACGCAAGTGACGATCGACACGCTGAGGATATGTCACCATTTTTACCGGATATTCATAAGGAAAAAGAAAACGCAAAAAAAGCACCGCGACTGGATAAAGATGAACAAGACGTTCCTAATCCTTTCGAAACCCATATCGATGACGTTATAACGCATCGACCATTAATACATATTAATACGGATGATATAAAATATAAAATAAATGAAACTGAAACTAAAGATTTATTAAACGACGTTAATTTACATTCTCATGAAACAAATGCTACAGACAATGCTAAAAATATTATAAAGAATGATTTAAATATGAGCGAAATTATGACCGATACAGAATTGAAAAATCATAACATATTGAATCAAGATGATACTTTTGCGAAATCAAATAATATAACGAAAGACGCTGTAAATGAAAAAAGGAGCAATTCTTCCATTATAGAACAGGATGACAATGAAGCATTGAAAGTGATACCATTAAACACAGAAGATAAATTAGTAGATCCAATTTTCCAAACTACAATGCAATCCACAGATAAAAAACCATTAGACTCTATTAAAGGATCTACCATTACTGCTGGAAAGAAAGTAGAAGATCTTGAGAATTCCGCGATAGAAAGTGGTACGACCAGCTTAGAGAAACCAGAAGAGAATGCCGTAGAAGATCAATACAACGACATTACGGATGAAAGTTTGTCAAAGGGATATCGACACGATAATACCGGCAAGGACATTCCAATTAAAGTTGTAGAGGGATCTAAAAAAGCGATTTTGAACGATATTGATCCTTTAAAAATTTCTTACAGCCACGTGCCTTCATCGACAATCGCATCTGACATCGCGAAGGAAAAAAATGAAACGAACATGGACACAGCAGAAGGTTCATTAAAAATTAAAGACGAAAAACAGATGGAAGATGCCAGATTGACCACTCAAGAGCCTGTGTTACCTGTGGAAATACAACAGGAAATGTCGACAACAATAGCGACCGATAAAATTGAAATTACGACTATAATTGATCATGATAAACGAGAGGAAAATAATATGGAACAACCGAAGAACACTGATCACCAATCCGATGAAAAAGAATCTGATATAATAGCGCAGATTACAACGATTCAATCCACGCTAGAGACCAAAACCACAGCTCAAGTCCCGATCTTGCCCGATGAACTGCAAACGACAGAGAGTGATATGTTAACGACAACGTCAATGACTCCGAGTGAAGATAAGGAAATGAATCAAGAAGCTATTGATAAAACGAAGCCGCAAATTTCAATAGAAAATATCAAGGAGGAAACGAAAAAGAATGTAACCGATGAGAAAGAGAACATTACCAGTGAAATAAACAGTACATCAACGGAAAGAAGTATGGCAGCGACGACGACGTACGAGAATAATGTGAGTGTAGAAGCCGACCGGGAAATAGACCATAAAAATATCGATGATCCCAACAGAACAATCGAGAATTCGACGGAAAGCTCGAATATGGAAACTACTCTTATGATGTCTGCGACGGAAAAGAGCGTAATAAATGGCGCAGAAAAAACTTCGTCCAATGATGTCACCACTACAGAAGACATCAGACCGGTCACGGAAATGTTGGATGATACGCAGCCTAGAACAGAATTCGATCATAGATTGTTATTCATCACGACACCAAGAGCGACATTCATCGAACCAGAACTCCCTGAAGAGTCACTCAGAGTAATACCATTGGAAAAAAATCAAGAAAACAAGAAAAAATCGGGCGACAAAAAGGGATTCGACAAGTACAAGTATAAAAAAGAGAAAGACATGAGTTTGGAGGAGCAAAATGAGAATAATGCGTTGACGGAAAAATCAAGTTCAACGATTCTTTCTCAAACGGAATCGTCAAAGATTATTTCGAAAGATTTTGAGGATTCGAACGATAGTGTAATGAGCTCTGACTTGGATCCAAGTAAATCCAAATTTACCTTATTTAACAGAGAAGGTAACATTTTGCCGAAGAATACGGGAATTGATGAAAGCAGTATCGAAAATAAGGGAGTAATCGTGGAAACAAAACCTAAGAATTATCCCAGTTTCATACCTGTGTCGGAAGAGATAATAGAGCCCGTACCAGTCACAGAATCATATATATTATTGCGAAATGCTCGCCCTACGAGCAGTTTTGAAGCAGAGGATACGACTATGAACGAGACAGCCGTCGAAGGTCATACAGACGACTACGAAACGGATTTCTCTTCCATCCATGTAAGAGCGAACGAAACGACTGAACACCCTGTTACTTTTTTATCGGATCAATCGTTCAGCGAGACCGAAGAAATTGATGACGTTACGAAAGAGCTGTCTACGATCCGATTGAATGTTCGAACCACGCCACTGGACGTCGAGAGTACAACTACCGTTGCTAGCACCGGCTTTTCAGGATCTACGCCTAAAGCAATCCTCTCGAAATGCATCACGGGTCAATATCAATGCGCCAATGGCACGTCTAAAGACGGCGCATATTGTGTTCCATTATCCGCCAAATGCGACTCCAAGAACGACTGTTCCGATGGCTCCGACGAGGTGGATTGCGAAGATTGCTCAGGTAACTTCCGCTGCGCCAGCGGAGAATGCTTGAAGAGACACTTTGTGTGCAACAAAATCATGGACTGCGACGACGGCAGCGATGAACGCGATTGCGAGAATTGGAAGTGTCAATCCGATGAATTCAGATGTCCAAGCGGTAAGTGACGAAGTCGTGATCGAAATTATAGTGTTCCAAAACCAACGAATATTCTTTTATTAGTAAATTCTTTGATTTATTTTGACAATTTTTCCTTAACAGAAAAAACATCGTATCATCGATCATTTTTTAAGTAATTAAAAAAAAAACTCAATTTCTTAAATTTCATAAATTCAATAAATTAACAAAACTATATTTTTCAGTTAAAATAGAATATATTTTAATAATTTTAGTTTGAGTTTTAATTATATGTAGAAGATATGTACTGGAAACTTGTCAAGAATTACTTCCCGTCATTTTCACAAGGAAAGATTCGGTTTTAAACACTATATATGTATAAAATAATATGCAATAAATGATAAAACTTGAGTGGTTAAAATATTAAATATACGGTAATTGTTATTAAAATGTAATTATAAAATTTAATTTTATAGGGAAATGCATTCCGGCATCGTGGCAATGCGACGGTCGATTCGATTGCGAAGAACATCAAGATGAATACAATTGTAGCGAAAATTGCAAAGATAATCAGTATCTATGTCCAACGGAGAAGTTGTGCATCCCAGAAACGTGGCGTTGCAACGGAATTGCCGAATGCATAAACGGGGAGGACGAGAAGCTGTGCGATTGCAGTGCAGATCAATTCAAATGTCAAACCGGTGGATGCGTTTCCTCGATCGAAATATGCGACGGCGTTAAAAATTGTCCGGATTACTCGGACGAATGGAGCTGTCTAATTACCAATATCACTGAAGATAAAACTAATACGGAAACGAACACCAATACCGAAAATAATATGACAAGCGAATCGGGCGTGTCACTGTTGAAAATAAGGTAATATTTAAATTAAATAGATTTTAATGTTTATGTCGTTATATCATTAATTTCGAAGTCATGAATTAACAACATACTTAATTGAAAAGATCATAAATTATGCCTAAGAATACACGGTATATAAATAGAATAATTTAATAAAACAACAATATATAATTTTCTCGAAAAAAAACTTGATTTATCTTAGAGTTTCTTTAATGAGTTCATTAATGAGACAGATTTATAAATATTTTTTGAAAAAAAAAAGAAAATTCCGCAAACTGCGAAATCCAATTATAATAATAATAATAATTCTGTTTTATAATAAATTATATTAACGTTATCATATATTTCTGTATACAGACAATATGACAACGATTATCGACTAGTCTGTTCGGATGGATGGAGCGAAGAATTTAGCGATTCTTATTGTCGGACTTTGGGATTCGCCGGAGCCGAGACAACTAAGATTATCCCGTTGTCTGCAGAAAAAAATCGGAGCGAGAAAATTTTAAGACTGAAAACAAATCCAAATCACCGTCTGCCGCTAGTCACGAATCTAGAGCAAGTAGAATTCTGCGTGTCGAATAAAGTCGTGCAAGTGTCGTGCGAGGAGTTTTCGTGCGGCCTACATTATGCTGAAGGATCGACCGCGAGATTAATCGGTGGGATGCCAGCCAATGATGGACAATGGTCCAGCATGGCTTTGTTGAAGGAGCTAAAACACGGGACTACTTGTACAGCTAGTATACTCGGTCCCATGCACGCTCTAGCTAGTTATTCTTGTATTTACAGGTAATTCAATATATAAAAGAGCGTGTACATAATGTGTCATTGACAACAAGATAAACCGCGTATTATTATGCGTAATTAAGAATTAAAATTTTAAAAACTTATATTAATATATAATAATCTTACACATATATGATTGAATATAATGTTTACTTCAATTTATAGATATATTGAATATCTAATTATTATAATATTTATTTAATAGAGAAAATTTTTTTATTAATATTATATATAACATTGAATATCATTGTTGGCATAATATACATGCAATATATTAATTATTAAAATAATATATTGCGTGTATATTATGCCAACAATGGTATTAATTTTATTATATACTGTTATATAATTTTTTTCAAATATAGATACAAGGATAGTGATGGATGGCAATTTTTCGCCGGTGATGATATGCTGAAAAGGCAATTCGTTAAAAATATCGTGCCCTATCCTCAAGTGAAATATAATCAGTTCCTGTATAATAATGACATCGCTCTGATCGAATTAGAAGAACCATTAATATTTTCCAGAAACATTAGTGCCGTATGTCTTCCCAAACTGTCTATCCAGGTACGTATTCGATTAAATAATTCTCTGATATGCATATATATGTATAAATCTTATTTAATCAAGCATATTTATAATGTTCGATAATTTTTCATAATTTAGCCGGGACAAATTTGCGTAACAGCAGGATGGGGATTTTCTATGAACGGAGAAATAGATTTACAACAATATCTCAAATTCTTGCATCTCCTAACATATGATAAATGTAATGTCACGAATCATTATGGATTTAACACGGAACATAATATATGCGCAGAATTCACCGATATGGATAAAAACCCTTGTTATGTAAGTTTAACATTACGAAAAACAACGCCATCACATTTTTATATCATTTAAAAAATATTTGAGAGAGAGAAAGATACTAAAATAAAATATAAAATCTCTGTAAATATATTCTTCTCTCAATAATTAAACAATTGTGTCCAAATTAATAATATAATTTGGAAAATGTAAAATATATAATTAAACATTACATAAATCACAATTGCGCAAATATTCATGCAATGTTATATTTCAAAAATTGTTGAAAGTTACAATATTAGCTAATTATTAGCATTATTAAATGTGCATGTTTTAACGCACATATATATTTACCATTGCATTATATGCATAAAATAAATTTTAATGAAACTACCAATTAATTCATGTTTTCAGAATGACCAAGGAGCGCCGCTGATGTGTGCCAGTGAATTACAGGGTATATCCGAAAGATGGGAACTACAGGGCTTACTAAGTTATCATAGCAGATGTTCGAAGGGTCATCCAGCAATTTACTCGAGCTTAGAGCCAGTGCTCTCGTGGTTACGCGAATCAGTGCCAGCTTTGCAAATGCAAAGTTAAATCGATGATAAATAATTATTATATCGATTTCTCGAGATAAAGAACTGGTACTGAACGATATTGTATACTAAATGAGAACCGCAATTTTTTTTAATAAGCGAAACAAAAATATTACAAAAAGATCAAACTTTGGGCAAGACTTTCTTTACAAAGTCATACATATTTAATTTAATTAAATTCTATTTTTTCAATTGTCATGTTCCTATTGAAAAGTTTTTTTAACCAGTTCTCAAATTTCTTCTTCTCCCCTACCTTTCAAAAAATTTAAGTGCCGTATTATTATGCGATAGAACAAAAAAGCACTTAATTTCTGTATAAACAAAAATAGTAACAAAACATATATAAAGAAAGAATGAAGTTAACAAAATTATAAATTGACAATATTAAGAATATTTTATCCGCACTCGAAATAAATTATAAACTGATTTATAATTAAGAAAATATTATGTAAATATTGTATAAAGTAACTGTTTATTATGAATATGTGGTACAAGAGTTTATTAGTGAAATGGGTCTCTTAAATTTACAATTACATTTATAAATAAAATTCCTATCTATTACTATATGTATGTACATGAAATTAACTGTTACCTAATCAAATTAAAAGTTTAAAAATTTTTGTGATATTTCCAATATTTTCAAAATGTACTTTGTACATTGATTTAAGGTAATAATTTAACACAAGAGACACCAATACATATACAACACATATACAATGTCTGATTATATACGAATCAACAGTTTGTCTCAGAGATCCTAAATATAAGGATTCCTGAAATGAACAACAGATAGAATTAAGCAGTAGATAGGATAACTGTATATAATATATAACTATTTTAATAAAATACAATTGTTATAGACAGTACGTTTATATATGCATAGTCATTGCGGAATGCGTATTTTTATATTTCAATTAAAAATGATAAATAAAACATATTTTAAACAGATTATTATGTATCAAATATTTACTCTTTCAAAAAAATTATTCTTATAAAAACATTAAATAATTTAAAACATTACCAATAAAATTGAATTTGCACTATATCATAGAAATTAAATATAACTTGCACTAAAATATAATATAAATTAATGATAATATACTTGAATAGAACAATTATTAATCATCTATCTGTTTCTTTGGTTTAGCTGCTATTTCAGCAGCCGTTACCGCAGCATCTAAAGTAATTAATGATTCTGATATACTAGTTATGACTGAATTATATTTAGATAAAAGATCATGTACGTGAATATTTAGTTCTTTAGAATCCTCAAAAGCTTTGAGGTATGACAATGATATCTTATTAAATGTGCTATTTAATTCAGGCACATTTTTTATACGATTTGACTCTAATATAGGCACAAGTTCCTGCACTTTGGTTAACAGATTGTCATTTTCTATAATTTCTGGCTCCATTGTCAGCAGCAATTGTGCTTTAGCGCTTGTAGGTACATCGTAATCTTCAGAAACAGGTTCCAGGTAGCCATTTAATTCTGGTAATCGTTTAATAAGTGCATTTGGTTTTTCTCTGCCCGACAATGCTGAAGAGATTAGTGAATTGGCATCCAGGAGACGTTCGATGATAGTGTTTGGTGGTGCAGGATCATCCATATTAATTGTTTTGCCAAGTCCATATACTTGTTTTTCTAAATTAGCAATTCTGTCTTCTAACAACTTGATAGATGACATCTCAAAAGCTGAAATATAAAGGTATATATAAAATATAAAGCTCTTTATATATTATTTATTAAACTAGATAAGTCATGAAATATATAAACCAATTATTGATGTTTTACTTCGTTTACAATGTTCTTATTGTTTTACATAAATTATATGTTCATTCAATTAATATAAATTAATTTAAAATAACAGAACGTGTGTATTTTATGTAATTATATATATTAATTACACAGGTATTTTTAATAAACATTCATTTGAACAACGAAAGATACAAAATATTCAATTCGCACGAAATTAAATGTTTTGTTATTTAAGATGGTTTATATTCTCATTTCTCTAGATGCATAAATTACATAAAATCATGGATGAAATTTATAGATTACTTACTTTGTTGTTAAAAATTCAATTTTGGTGAGACTGATGAGTTTGACAGGAATGCTTAGAGGTTATTTCTTACTCTTACTCACTTGACATGCGCACACAATCCAAATCCCACGTGATCGTGTGAATATCACGTGATCACAAAGTACAGGTATTAGTTCGAAAAAGACAACTTTATATTAGAAAATTGCGAATTAATATGCGATGATAAACCAGACAGTATATATAGATACGATCGATATCCTTTCCTAATTTTTTCGCATGATATACAAAATCATTCGTGCAAGATCTCAGATTATTTCATGCTGCGCATAGTGAAATAAATAATATGCTGCACGCTAGAGGTTAAATACGAGCAGTATTAATTAAATTAATTTTACATGCAAATTAGAAAATGCACATAGGAATGCTCGAAAAAATGATTCGCGATTGTATTTAGACCTTTGAAAATTACATTCGAAAGAAAATGTGGCCATTTTATTTTAGATTTTTCTCTCTCTCTCTCTCTCTCTCTCTCTCGATTATTAAATTTTTGACCTACAGGATATTTCGCCTGTATAGCAAATCGAGTTCTAAAAATATGATTCATATACAATTTTGGTCTCATCAGAAACGCATGCAAATATATATACATATATTAATTACTCGCTCTTCCCGGTGCCCAAGGTTTTCTTTCCGCCAAAAGTTCTCGGAGCTGCGATGTATCGTTTCGCCGAAGAAATTTCATCTCAGTCGCCTTTATTTCGATTCACTCCAAGTGCTTTCGCACTCTTACGGCTTTTAGTCCATTTCCGCTTTATACGCAACACTCAACACAATTAAAAAATACACTTTTTATGAGAAACACCCGCGTCCGTGGTTCCATTTGTGTGGGTCCTTCCATCGAGTCTCGAGTCTCGATTTGAGACTCTCGAACCAGACGCCCAACACGTCAGACGCGCCTTTTTTAATTCATCGTGAATGTATCTGCAAATTGTCAATAGATTTGTTCGTGTTATTTGCTCTCATTCTTTCTTTCCAACGTTCCAATATATGTATGTCTATCTTATTTCAAGTGCAGAAATTTCTAGTATATAATTGCAGACAAATCTAATAACAAATCAATTAATATATGCATAAATAATTTCAAATTAAAGTTTGATCGATTCGAGAGCGATTAATAACGTGATTGACCAATCACAGCCTTTCTCTGAAGAATAAAGGGCTGTGATTGATCAATCACGTCATATGAATCGATCTCGAATTATCTCGAATCGATCAAACCTGCTTTGTTATATATATATATGTATATATTCTTTTCCGAAGCTGATTTTTATTGACAAACTTTTCAAACTAGATTTATAATAATTCTTCTAATTTGTTTATTTTTTAGGAAACTGACAATAACAAAAAGAAAAGGGCTCTTTTCTTCTTATGAAACATATATATGATTGTAAATCAAAAGAAACTCGATCATCTTCATGTCAGGGAGAATTAGAGGTTAGTAGAAAAAAATTAGATTTATATTTCATTCTTATTATAATTATATACGCTCTTTCTTCACACATTCTTTTATACATATAAAAGGTCCGAATAAAAATGATATATTTGTAATAAAGCATTTGTGCTAAAATTGATAAAAATAAGTCTAAAAAAAAGGTATGAAAGAGTCCAAGTCAAATCGATGAATTTCTCACCTGGTTTTTTCCTCCTTAATTTTTCGCATCGAATAACTGCGCCAGATGCGCGCAGCAGGGGTCGGATCGCGGGAGATGACAGGTGATCGAAGCGCACGCAGAGCGCGGAGAGAAAGCGTGAGAGGGAGGGGGAGGAGAGCGCATCTGTCATGGCTGACGTTTGGTTGGCGAGCGTAGTTCGCGGTGGTGTACGGTAGTCCGTTGTCGTCCTCCAAGGAGACTGATCGAAAGGGTCGGACGACGAGACCGGGACAACGCGAGGCAACGATAATGGGTAATAATGGGCAGACGCGCGGATGCCGATGCGAGGATAGACGCTACTACTAGCGAGCTCGAGGTGCTCGTCGTGTCGGAAGAGACGGAGGTGAGCTTATGCGAGCGAAGGTCCGCGATGACGATGGAGCCGCGGCATCCCCGTAGGGCTCGCTTACGTCGCGTCGTCGGGGTATGTCTGTTCCTGGCGTTGACTGGAATCATCTACCTGGGCTACTTCTGTCCGGATCACGTGTGCGCCCTGACTAATCGCGAGATCAAAGAGTCCGTCAGGATATCCGAGAGCCTGTCCGCCCCCGCGGCTCTGTCTTCCGTCTCCATCGAGTTTGATAAAAACGGCCTGCTGTCGGTGCATCCCGCCTTCAAGCTGCAGAGCATCCAGGGTAGCCTGGGTTACGACGATGTTTTCGCCAACGACACTTTCCAGTTTGACATCAATGCTCATGACGTTATGGTTTTTTTGCATATACAGAAAACTGGCAAGTTTACGAAAAGATTCTATCAATTTTATTGCATTATTTTTCGCAAATTTTCGCTTCAGACATTTTTCTGTTTTACCTTATTTATTTATGAACTTTAGTTCATTATTTATTTTATAATTATCTTTTATCAAAATAATTGTCAAATTGAAGTAAATAAATTAATATAAAGAAAATATTAATATTAATATAGAAGAAAAATATGTTTAATCTTACATTAAAAAAAATTGAAAAATATAAATTATATTATAAATATGAAACATAAATATAGATAATATTAAAGTCAAAATTTCGTAAGAGTATCAGATAATAACATCTTGAAAAATAAATGAAAAAAGTAAATTTTTATAAAGAATAACATTAGAAGATGTAAAATGTAAAAATTTTTATATTTAATCGAGCTTTCCAATCTATATTAATGAATGTTAAATTAATATGTGTCTTTTCTTACGCACCAAATCTTTTTTAGTAATGTTAGACAAAAGTAAAAAAAAGCAGTTATACTTGTCTTCAGTCTGTTGTATACTTGAATTATTGCATTATTCATCAGGTATACTCAAATGCTCAAGCTCTATCTTAGGAAGAAAGAAAGAATAACTTAAGGATGCAAAGTTACTTAGTATGCTATGTGTTTACATCCTCTCTATCTTCTCTTTCTCTTTGTATTCATAAATTTTTCTTTGTAAAACTACATCTTATTATAATACTATACTGCTTGCTGTAAGTTTTAATTTTTAAATCTTTAATGAAAGAAAAATGGAATATTATATATATAATAACAATTAATAAAATATTGTTAAAGTTTATGAATATACTTATGTATAAAAATTTTTTTCATTTTTAATTTGGACTAATGATATAAATATCTGTTACGTAAAATTTCTAATGTTTTTATTTTATTGAAGGTGGGACATTATTTGGAAAGCATCTGGTGCGAGACCTAGAGTTACAAAGACCGTGTTCGTGTCAACGACGACGAAAGCGTTGCTTCTGTTTCCGTCCAAATCGTAACGAGAACTGGTTATTTTCACGATATTCTACTGGCTGGAAATGCGGTCTACACGCGGATTGGACCGAACTGACAAACTGTGTAGATACAGAGCTCAATAAAATTGAAGGAGAAGGCATCAAGCGCCGTTACTTTTACCTAACTATCATAAGAGATCCCGTCGCGAGGTATCTCTCCGAGTTCAAGCATGTGCAAAGAGGTGCTACATGGAGAGGTGCTCGTCATTGGTGCGGAGGCACTCAAGCAAATATACCCCAATGTTACAATGGTTCCAGTTGGAAAAATGTCACTTTAGAACAGGTAATTTCAATTTCTATTTGAGAATTGCGCAGCATAAAAGAATTTCGTACAATTAGTCAGTATAGTTCATTTTGCATTTGCAATACAGATTTCTTTCATGAATAAAATAGTCCATTTATATTTTGTTCTATATCTAGAAATACATTAAGATAAGAGTTACTTATCTTTAAAAGAAAACCTTCCTTTTTTAATTTCCTATGCAGTAATTTCCTGTTAGATAACTTTATGCCCTCTTCCACACTCAATGCATTATACTTATGAGTTGTTGTTGTTATTCACGTAAACAAAGCAACTAAAATTTCATTTAAATAAAGAGACCATTAAAATAAAACTATTAATATAGATAGAAAAGCTTGACTTAACAATGTTATTATATATCTGTGCAGTTCATGGCGTGTCCTTACAATTTGGCAAGTAATCGTCAAACTAGAATGCTGGCAGATCTGTCAATAGTTGGCTGTTATAATTCTACTCTTAGCAGTATTGACAGAGATCGTCTAATGTTGGCCAGTGCTAAACACAATTTGCAATTCATGCCTTTCTTCATGTTGACTGAGTATCAAAAGGTATACAATAATATTATATATATTTATAAATATATTATACATAATTTTTATTATTTTATTATTATTATTATAAATTTATGTTACTCCTGTTATAATATTTATATATTTTTTGTCATATTTTTATCATAAAATTGTGCATATATTATAATGTAGTCAACAAAATATGAAATACTGTATAATCAATCTTATATGCAGAGTAATGTAGAAAACAATTACAGTTTCTTTTATGAATATTGTAGCTATATAAAGTTGTTATTCTTATACATCACGTTCGCAGCTTGAATGCTTAAGAATAGACGTCTTAATGTAAATATTTATGAATTCCCTTCTTCAACATGTATGAGCAATAGGTTTATTTTATAAACTACCCATTACTGTTCTTAGATTCTTATTTTTGTATAGTTATTTCGTATTTGATACAGATTTAAAAAATATTTAAAAATATTACTTCTCTCTCTCTCTCTCTCTCTCTATATATATATATATATATATATATATGAAATTTTTATTATAATTTATATATTATTATGCTATGTTTAATTCTTTTTCTAAGATGATGTTGCATAGATCTAATTGTAAATAATTTTAAAAGTATGTTTTTTGAAATATAATGACATATTTTTTTCATGATAATGTGTGTCATGATTTTTTTTAATATTATAGATTATAGAAGATTATAGATAATAGAAGTAGTTATCATAAATTAAACTTTTTTTTATTTGTTCAGACTTATTACCAATACATTAAAGCTAGCCTTGATCTCTCTTGGCAAGGCACAGGCACTTTGCATCAAAAAACATTAAATTGCATATTAATATAATCATATCATATTTATGTTAAAATATTCAAATTATTATTAAAAGATATCAATACAATATATTATATTATATAATACAATATATGTTTTAATTAAGATTTATGTTAGAAAAAATAATATAAAGTATATAATATTAATAATTATTATATATTAATATTAAAATTGTATCACTCTAGGTGGGGCAATATACCTTTGAGGAAACATTTAAGATGCGATTTGCAGTTGCCTTTGAACAACATAATGCTACACTCAGCGCAGCTACTATGGCAACCCTTAGCGCAGAACAATTGGACAGTGTACGTAGGCTCAACAGTCTGGATCTGGAACTCTATGAATTTGCAAAGAATCTCGCCTTTCAGAGATTTAGACGGCTTAGAGATCGCGATCCACATTTCGTACAACGATTTCAACATCTTGGTGAATTACCATCAAGGCAAAGTGTCACAGAATTTAATTGGGATTCCGTCATTGAAGATACTACAGAGTGATATGTAAGTACATTATTAAGCAATCTCTGTCGACGCCAAGCAATTCTGGATCTGAATAACTTAGAGAAATGCAAACAGAATGATTTATACATATAAACCATGTAGATATCTGCGTAAAATTTACCAAATGCACAGAAAAGTACTTGGACAAGACCAAAGAGAAATCTGAGAACCTTGTGATGAACTTGGCTATTCTATCAGCAACTAAAAGTGTAAAAGTTGCAATGTAATATTTGCAAAAATTTTCTATGTTTCATAAAATACTCATACACTCTAGGAAGGTTCTTCCACATATAAGTAACATATCTTTGCTTATGTTTCTACAGATAAAACTGCTAATTTTTTATAAGATTTATCTGCAAATTAAATTATTGCCATATTCGCCAAATAATTTTTCTCAAATTAATTTCTATATATATTTATCTAGTTTTTAATTAATTTATATTTTTTTGGACTATACATATATACATATGTACAGGGTTGAGAAGTAACGAGTTACTTGTAACGAAGTTACAGTTATAGTTACTTTTTTTCGGTAACTATAACTTAACTTCGTTACTTTTCTCCATCTGTAACTGTAACTTAGTTACATTTTTTAGTAACTGGTAACTATTTTAAGTTACTTTATGAGTTACTTTTTTGGAAACATGCGTTAAAAGTATCGTACAAGTGTGGTAGCCGTTATATTGTTATTAAATTCTGATAACAGTGACATATATATGATCTTCATATGATTTAATCTTTTACCTACAATTCTCATATATATTTAGTGTACATAAAATAATATAACACATAATTAAGATCGACCAATCACAGTCAAGTATTTTAAAAAATTCTTAAATGTAATAATTGGTCGATTTGCTTGCGACTTTGCGATTACCATTTAGTAAGTTACTAACTATTGTTACTGTTGTATATAAAGGTCATTCCCCAAGGAGAACAGAAGGTCAAAATTATGTCAATTTAACATCATATTGACTAAATATTGACCAAAAAAATGACAAATTTAATCAATATGACATCAAATTGACATCATTTTGACTTTTTTGTTCTCCTTGGGTTCATACATTGATGGTAATTGCAAAGTCGCAAGCAAATCGATCAATTATTACATTAAAGAATTTTTTTAAATACTTGACTGTGATTGTGCATAAAATGTAAGCTCCTTATATTTAAAATAATGTATAATATTATTTAAAAAAGTAACTGAAAAGTAACGACTCGTTACTTTTTGAGTAACTGTAACGAGTTATTTTTTTAAAAATCGGTAACTTGTAACTGTAACTAGTTACTTTTACAAAGTAACTTTCCCAACCCTGCATATATATATATATGTAGTTATATATATATATATATATATAGAGAGAGAGAGAGAGAGAGAGAGAGAGAGAGAGTATTTGTTTTTTTTAAATTTATGGATTTATATGAATAGTTTTATAACAAATGTTGCTGCAACTTACTAAACTTACACACATTTTAATTGAGTATAACATATATTATACAAAAGTCATACTTTTGATCAGAAAGATGAAAAAATTATATTCAGAAGCAAAACAAAGACGCCATTAGTTTTCGTAAAATATTTATATTATTTATGAAAAATTATTTATAAGAGAGAAATTATATTATTTATAAAAGATTATTCCCGAGAATATTTTTACACAAAAATTTTATGTTCTCTTCTTTCGAGAAAAACTAAATTTATTGAACACATCTATATATACATGAAACACCTATATCTCTATTGAAATAAGAAGTAAAAAATTTACACATAAATGTGATGTAAAATGTTGTGTAAAATGTTAAGATTTAAATATCGAAATAAGCACAGACTTCTCTTCATAAGAAAGATACAAATCAACAAAACTGCAACTTAAAATGCAAGAATGTTGAATATAATTATAATATTGATTAATCATATTTATATTGGATACATTATATATAAATTTATAATATGTTATCCAGATATACATGTAACAAATGCTATCAATTATTGCACAAATATTCTAGCCTGATTAAGAAAGGAAAATATGTTTTGGTTAAAAACATAAAAAAAAAACATGTGAGATTCTCAATTAATTTGCACATTATCATTTACAGCAAAAAGAAATAGAAATAACAAAATTTTAAGCGTTATACAATTTTGTACATCAGTAGCACATTGTAACTAAAAAAAGATGCACACTCACAGATTTTGAATTACTTTTGTAAATATATATTTCTAAAAGTATATATATATATATTTTTTAATCAAATTATTTGCAGCAAATAATTGAAACGAGTTAGCTTTATGAAGCTAACGTTAGCATTTAATACATGTAGTTTAAATAATAAAAAAACATTGACTATACGATATGCCACATGTAAATCAAGGTATGTTTCTGGATAGAAATATTTGAAAATGGAAAAAAATATCCATTTTTAATTGTTACTCTGCACACTGCTCGAGAGATAACGGTCCTACATTCGCAATTAATATAAAAAATGCTACACTGTTTATTAATTATATTATTTTATGTTAAAAGAAATATTCATGCAACGTGCAGATATAATTATAAGTGATATCGAAAGTCCTCCAAATATTTGAGAAAATTATTTAAATTATTTAAATTATTTAAATTATTTTTTAGCAGGCCTATATAAATTTAATTACAAATAATACAATACATTGGATTGTCATTTTATTCTTAGCTTAAAATTAATAATACTATTTTAACACAATTAATACAACAAAAGTTGTAAGTGCAATAAGACTTGCGATGGGTTACCATTATAAATATTTCATATCATTCAGTCAGTAATATAAATATAAAATAGGCGATTAGTTTTATTAGCTATAATTACAGCATAGGCAAAGATTCTCTTGAATAATAATGGTCTTTCGAATGAATATATATATATATATATATATATATATATATATATATATATATATCTAATAATGTATAGGAAATCGAGTGCCATAAAAATCATGTAATTAAAAAAAATTAATTAATAAAAATACATAGTTATATTATGTTTAGTATATAGGAATTATGGCAGATAATGAGATTAGAGATAATAGATAAAAATTACATTGTTTCAATCGAATGACCTATTTATAAATATATAATAAGCGTGTAAAATTATCAATAATTGTTTAAAATTATTCTCTACTATTAAGGACCAAAGATTTAAGATGTTTTAGCAAGTACTCGGAAAGCTTGCAGCACAAACAATTATAAGAAACTTTTTATACGTATTGTTAGATAAAAAAAAAAGCTCATTACGTCGATGATAAGCGCAAATGATTACTTTAATGTTTAGCTATCATATTATCGGCGCTTATCTGACTGTGATTATTGATTCTTATATCAGAAAAAAGGCTTATCTATTCGATTATATTAAATGATAGTCGTCTACGGTTTATTTTGGATGTATTAGAATTTTGTAAGTTTGATGATCTCATTGTCAGTAAAAATGTATTTATTCTACATAATAATTCTGCACAATAATTGAATTGTTCAAACATTCACATGATCTAATAATGTAAAAAGAGCGGTGCAAGTTTTCAATATGTTAGAAAGGATGAGAAACATTAGCTTTAATATTCATTATACTTGTAGCAAGAGAAATGATATGAAAAGAGAAAGAGATAGTTAATGAAATGCCATGACACTAGCCTAATGAAACGAACAATAGGCCTAAAGCCGTCGGTACCTTATATAAGCCATTGTATATACCATACCATTAGTTGTTTAAGGATCAATAAATCATGTATACAAGGCACACATATTTATGTGTGATTATATCTATTATTATACAATTATACAAATAAAGATATACAGATATTGTAAGATAGACGTCGCGCAGATCGAAATAGAGCTGAGTCTAACTCATTTGAATGATGAATGTTGTAAACCTTTTAATTTTAATAAACCTGAAGAATTCTTTCAGTTATGTAAAATCTATTCATTACGATTCTCCTCGTTCTATAGAGTATGGATCGAAAGATAGATTCTCGTATCGCTTTAGGCAAATTATTTATTCCACGCACCTTGATTAAATATATCCACGCACATTATCATGCAATTAGTATGATAAACATTTATACTTTGTGACAAAGTTTCTTAATATTATGCCATTGTAGATTCCTCATCTATTTGGGATTTGTATTATTCTTAGTTTGGTTTCAATAATTAATCAAAACCACAAAATGGACGAATATCAATTTTGACAATATAATTCTTATTTCACTTTTGTTTGTCATTCTGCTAAAGCAACGATTGCTCCAACATTATTTTTTCAAAGCCCATTGGTGGAGTGTAGATAAAATTTTCTAGAATTAAATCTAGGATAGCTCCATCGTCCACTAAAAATTAAAATATCAATTAAATCTCAATTGTATTATTTATTCGTTATTATTAACGGAAAAAAAACGATAATATGCGTACCATATAACACTGGATAAACTCGTCCCTTTATACTTATAATTGGAGCATTCATGGATTCTCCATTTAAATAAAAATTCAACTCTATGTGATCATAGGATATTCCCTAAGAAAAGTTTTTGGTTATTCTAAAAAGATTTCTAGTAATGGTAAAATCTTAAAAACTACAAGTATATGTACTATTTGTTTGATTTTTTAAAGTTTTTTCAGTGTATTAACTTGTTCAAGAGCTTGATAAAATTTTTAAAAATAACAATAATACATACAATAACATCTCCTTCCTGTACAGGGTTTTGAATCTTGTGGAGTTCTTGTTCATTATGCCTTATAATACCATCCGAATTGAGTGCCCAACTTTCCGAATCCTTTCCTCCTATGGCAACATTAAGATCCGTATCCCTCCTGGCTAGCCCAATGCCCCATATTCCACTTTGTTGTATCTTTACTTCAAAATAACTTTTACTTTGGACGAGAGGGGCATTTGTTAAGGCACCGCCACTTCCACATATTCTTAGACCATTTTTCACTATTACTACTTCATTTCCTGCATAAAAAAAGTATCAGAATTATAGATAACAATTTCAATCATTATCTTTGTATAAATCTAAGTACACATTAAGTTTCGACCCACATTGTGACAGTAGCTAACAGATTGTTGATATGACAGGACAACTTTCATGTTTCTATTTTTAATTAATGTAAGCGCTGAACAAGAACAACACTTGAAAAGGACCACAATGTGAGTCGAAACGTAGTGTGTACTTATTTTCAATAAATAAATAGCCAGTTTTTGGTCGAATTAAATTGCATCTTATTATTTGTTATAATTTTATCACTGGCGATCAACAATTAATTGTGAAGATAAAATATATACATCAAGTATGTAGAAGCTACTTAAAGATTAGATAGGATATACGTAGATCAGTATCTACCAAAAGTATTGCAATAAATCATTACATATTAGAATATATTTCAAAAAATGTTTCTCACGATTGCCTCGTGAAAAATTAATTTACAGATTGCGTAAACGATATTCTATCAAAAATTAATCTGTCAATGTGCAAGAAATAGTGTATAAATTGCACGACGTATGGCGATCTCCTAGCGTTATACGTCATGTTAACTCGGGCGATTTGACAACCGCGTGGCGAGTGTTGACAGTTACCCATATGAGTCGTGTCTAAAGCGATGGGATTTCGTTCCCGCTTCGGAGCTTGAGTCGCGGCGAAGCCGAGGCCATCGAAACAGTTCCTCAGACAACAAAACATCGTCCGCAGCTCGGCTTTGCTACTCGTTCAGAAATGCGACATCGTAACCAATGTAACCGGAGCAAAATCTCCTTTTTCTTGTCACTCTTTTCGCTTAATTCTCGCCGAAATCTGTGGAATCCATCCGTGATGCCGCCACGAACTGGCGCAAGTTTGACGTTCCTAGACACTTCAAATTACGCACAAGCAAGTCGCACAAAAATGGCTTCCTCTCGGGAAAATTTTGATCAATATTAGTTATCTCGTCAGCCTTTTATCGCGTAAAACGCATGTCGTGTTTTATGAATCTTCCTCGCATTTAACGGTGGATAATAAATCTTTTTGACAAACGTAAAGCTTTTTATGAATGACGTAAAGTTCGAGGTTAGGTCAGGTTAGATTTCGTATCGTAAATCGAGGTTAAATAAGTTTTCGGCTCGTATGTATTAAAATAAACACAATTTTATTTTTGTACCAAAATGGTATTTATTTCCTTATATTATACAAGATTATTTGTTCATACCCGACTGGGATACAACATCTGTAACAGAAAACAAATTAGTTATCTTTAGTAAAAAAAAAAAAAAAACATTATTACTTTTATTTAATACTGAGCGATATAACATTACATGCAATACAATTGATTGTAGCAATTATTTCTTAATTAAAATATATATAGAAATTGTACATAAAATTAAGTTTTTATATTCTAATTAGCAAAAAAATTTAATATATACATATATTTGTGTGTATACGCATAGAATTATAAAATATAAACTTCAACTTACAATCCTGATACGATGACCCATTGCCTTAGCTGGCAGATTTCTCTTAAATTTTGCACGGACCGATCCACTTGCTCCATGGGGACGAGTGACTTTACCCCAGATAGCCCTAATCTTTGTTTTCTTTGTGGTTTTGCCAGGTACCGGCGTCTTGTTCTTAGCCTACAGCAATGTTCATAAGCTATTATAATCATGTTAATAAATAATAATACATAATCTAACGAACACAGATACAATTCTGAATTAAATTTTGCAAAATTAAAAGAAAAAACATTAAAAGGAAGCAAATAGATTTGAAAAAGAATTCTTAAGTAATTTCACAAGAATTTTTTTGCTTTTGCATTCAACTTGTTTGTTAAATTTGAATAAATTCATCAGAGATGGCTTATACCTTATATACATAGACGCATCGTTTCCCTACGTAGAAATCAGAGTCCAGCTTAGTACTGGCTCCTTCAATTTTAAGCAGCGCTGTATGTTCATGTTGATTGCGCAGTCCACGTTTATAACCGGTGAAGATGGCTTTCGCGTACAGACGTCCATGCCTCTTGAAGGGCCTCTTCCTCAGAGCCACTTTGGCATTTTCTGTGGCACCTTCCTTCGTCTTAGGCGTTTTTACTTTACTCGTCATTTTTCTAGCAAAAAATAGAAAAGGCAATGTTAAAATATTTTTTATATGTCAAAAATTATGCAAAATTGTCGAAAAATAAAAATCACTCAAACATTCCTCGAATAAAAAAAAAAAGGTGAAATTCTACGATTTACACGCTAAAAAGGAATTAACAGAACACATTGAGGTTGTGTACGATAGTGGATAGCGGAAAAAAACATTTTGTCAGAAATTAAACGAAATTGTAAAAAGATTAACGTAAAGTTCAACATTTAAAATGTTACTCTCAATTTATAAGATTAATAATCTTAAATTTATATAATTTTTTTATCAAATTATGTTCACTTCTGTTGTCACACTACGACCACCATAAATGCCATCTGAAACACGTCATGGTAATCTGCCGGAATCGTTGGAAATCAAATAACAATACATGTAAAAAAGTAATTATATGGTAATCTGACAAAATGTTTTATAACGTAGCTCTTTTATTTGCAAGAAAAATTAATTACGTGAATTAATTTTTATTATTAATTATGAGATATCTTCACTCCGAAACATACCGAAATGTATCATGAACTATAAAAGAGCATGAGAAGGAGAAACCTCCCTCTGCTGGCAAAAAGTATAACAAACGTTAAGGTAGTTCTTCATGTGATAGTCACATTCTATTTGAATATCATATTTATTTGTAAAAAAATTAAAATTTCTGTTGAAAATTGATAAATAATGGATTAAATAGCTTATTAATTATAATACGATTTTACAATTTATCGAAATAAATTGAAACTAATAAAAGAGAAGATATAAAGTAAATGTACAAAGTGAAATTTATAGTGCAATTAAACACAATATATAAATATTATTTTTAAAAAATAAACGATTTTTTAAGCGTTTCTAAAAATATTTCAAATATGTATTTGATTTTCCCGCCTTTTTTACGTTTATGTGGCTAGAGAAAAAGAACTAGACCGAAGATATCTTTCGAACGCTAAATATTCTGATTGGTCGCAATTCTACTTCACGAGTAAATTTTGGAACACGATGAGAATTTCATAAGAGATAACGCACCTCTCACGAAATGCATAAACAATGGTATAACCAATTTGTGGAACCGGCTTTTAGAAAATGTAGAAAATTTTGAACGTTCATCCACGCACGACCGGTGCGTAAGTGCGGTGGTTATATATCATTTACATGAATTCACATGTTCTTATGTATGTCGCAATATTATTTCGTATTTATAAAACGACGTTGTACATTCGTATTATATCGATCCGAATTACAGTAGCAGACTGTACAGAATCTTATCTGCATATTAAACGCGACGACGAAGTTTGATATAAATCGAAATATAATTCTCATCTGCATGTTTTCGAATGTTACGAATGTAATATTGCAGCTATGCATATCTCGCGAAATGAATGTTTAATTTTATACTTTTATTTAATCCATGTTTTCCTCTTTGTTTCGTTTCCACTTGTTTATATAGATGTGTTATAATATTCTGCACAGATATATTTCGAGATGTCAGAGGTGTCGTAATTACATAGTATGTAAGAGCAAATACGACGATTAAGATAGAACAGCAGCGGTGTAAATTTAGGTAAGATATATTAGAGATGATAAAAAATTAAATTAAGTAGACACATAATTAAATGTCTGACGATACTTTGCAGATGCTGGCTAGTAAGCTAATTTTCATTTCGCACAATGATTGCCAGCGACATACAAGGCTCCTTGAAGGAAGCTCTGTATGAGACATTGACAGAAATTTTGTCACCTCATTACGAAACCCGCAAAGCAGCGGAACAGAGAATTCAAGCTTTAGAGGTGACAGAAGAATATGGAATACACTTGACAGAATTTGTCATTGATCCTAATGGGCATTTACCTATCAGACAATTGGCTTCCGTTTTATTGAAGCAATATGTTGAAACACATTGGTGTTCATTAGCTGAGAAGTTCCGTCCACCAGAGCTTAACAATACTGCTAAAGAGAAGATAAAAGAATTACTACCTATAGGGCTTCGAGAATCTATTAGTAAGGTAATTTTTTAATCAAATAATTACTTTAATTATAAAAATTTAATTTGTCGTTTAATTTAATATTATATTATTGCACATTGATGCAATTTTGTATGTATAAGAATGTAAATAAACAAGATATTTTTTACTTTAGGTACGAACTGCAGTGGCTTATGCAATATCTGGTATAGCACATTGGGATTGGCCTGAAAATTGGCCTGCCTTGTTTGATGTTCTTGTCAACTGTCTAAGAGAAGAGAGTGAATATGCTGTTCATGGAGCAATGAGAGTCTTGACAGAATTTACTCGAGATGTCACGGACACTCAGCTGCCCAATGTGGGACCTATTATTCTTCAAGAAATGTACAGGATATTTCAAAGTGAAAATGTAAGTTTTTGATGGAAAATGGAAATTTAAAAAAAAATTTTTTTTTTGCATTGTCATCTTTGTTTCTTGCAGCAGTATTCGATTAAAACGCGTGGTCGTGCAGTTGAGATTTTTGTAACAATTACAACTTTGGCTGCTAATTTGGGAATGTACGAAAAAGATTTACAGAGCAGTATCTGCAGCCAATTATTCCTATGTTCTGTGAGAAGTTTGTTGAGTGCCTCAGAGTGCCTAACAGCCCAACTAGTGACAGCGGATTCAAAACAGATATTATTAAAGCCATAAATTGTCTTGTTACAAAGTTGCCCAAATATGTATCGCATCTTTTACCTGAAATGCTGCCACCCGTATGGGAAACTTTATGTCAAAGTGCAAAGACTTATCAAGAAACGATAGTCAATGCCGATAAAGATATCGATGACAAAGAAGTTGATTCTGATGGTACGTTATTTTGATATATTGTTAATGTTTTTTTTTTCTATAAATACATTTTTATTTTCTAGGTGAAGTAATCAATTTCAACAGTTTGATCATTGCGATATTCGAATTTGTTCAGACTATCGTGGAACGCAAGAGGTTTATAAATATGCTAGATAATATGCTACCAGAAATAATATATTATTTAATAATATTTATGCAAATAACATACGACCAGATTCAACAATGGACAACTAATCCGAATCAATTTGTAGAGGAAGACGAATGTACATTCGATTATAATGTTCGAATTTCCGCGCAAGAATTTTTAACAGTGAGTAGAAACATAATGGATGAAATAATTTTAAAAAAACCGTACAAAGTTATAAGTACAAAGTAAACATTAATATTTCATCGTTTTCGTTACAGACTCTTATCAATAATTTTGAAGAGAAAGCAATACATGCGCTTTGTGATGTAGTTACACGACATATTGAAGCAACAAAGGCACTACAAGCCGGTAATGGCGACGGTAGCAATAGCAACGAAAGTTGGTGGAAATTACGGGAATCCTCTCTTCTGGCATTGAGCTTATCTAAGTGTACTGTTGTTGAAAAACAACAAGCTGGGACGTTGCAATTCGATATTATTAGATTTCTAGATACAGCTGTTTTGGGAATGTTAAATGATTCGGGTAATTAATTACATTAAACCGAGTAACTTATATCCTATTTATATAATTTTATAATTAATATGTAGAGAATCATTGTAAAAATTATATGTATTATCTTTTTTAGAATCGCCACCGTTACTTCTCGGTCGCTGCTTATGTCTTGGCGGACGGTACGCTCAAATAATGCCACCGGAAGTGAGTTCTCGATTTCTGGAAGCGACAGTTAACGGCTTACAGGAAAATCAACCATCTTGTATTCGCATCAGCGCTGTTAAAGCGATCTATTGGTTTAGCGAAGCGTCAACTGAGAAAGATTCCATCGTCAACATAATACGCTGTCATATGCCCAATATATTTCAAGGATTATTCAGTCTAGTTAGTCAACCGAGCACGGATGTTCTAATCTTGGTCATGGAAACATTTCAAATACTAGTTTGGGTAATGCTCCGACATTTTTCTTTATTATGCATATATTTTTATTGCTTTTTTTCCTTGTTATTTACTTATTTGAATCTATTTGTATTTATAGCAACACAAAGAGCTTACAGCATCAGTGGAAAACAAGATTTGTCCTTTGACAATTGCAGTGTTTGTAAAATTCCATAGTGACCCAACCATCTTAGATATATGCCAGAACATATTCAAGGATTTGACGCAGAATCCGAGCTGCATCGAATTGTTGCAAACTCGTATAATACCTACTCTTACGAGTATGATGGCGATAACTCCTATGAACAAATCAAAGGATGGTACGTTTTTTTTTAATTAATACCCTTTCTTGTCAAATCTAATCGATTTGATTTGGCCTTTATCGCTAATTCTTTGTTCTTTTTGTCAGAGGGAACTCGGGCCGTAGCGTTGGATGTGCTAAGAGTTCTTGTACAATATTCACCGACGCCTCTGAGTAACGCCTTGGTCGAGACCGCTTTCCCGGCTGCCTGTCACTGCATTCTCAACTCGGAGGACCACGCGACCCTGCAAAACGGTGGAGAACTCATACGCAGTTATTTATCCGTGGCAGCGGAGCAAGTCATCGCACATCGAGACAGCGAAGGGCAAACCGGATTGCAATACATATTGGAAATCATTGCTCAACTTCTAAATCCGCAGGTAATATATCATCGCCACAGAAATTAGGATAAGTTATTTTACTATAAAATTACATATCTATATACATGGTGGTATTTCAGTCGAGTGAATTTACTGCAACTTTTGTCGGACGTTTAGTCACAACGTTGATCAGAAACGTTGGGAACAATCTGGGTGAAAATCTTGATCTATTGTTGAAAGCGGTGCTGAGCAAGATGCAGAGTGCCGAAACGTTAATAGTTATGCAGAGCCTACTGATGATTTACGCGCATCTCGTAAACACGCAGTTCGACGCTCTGTTAAATTTTCTGTCGACCGTGCCAGGTCCGACCGGACAAAGCGCACTCGCATTTGTACTGTCCGAATGGGTTAGCAGGCAGCGTTTGTTTCTCGGTAGATACGATCGCAAAGTCTCGACGGTTGCGTTGTGCAAAATCCTGGAATACGGAGTCACTCACGGAGATAGCAGATTGGATGAGATCTCGGTCAAAGGGGATATGGTTATTTCAGGTAATAATCTTTCAATTTTTCTATTGTACATGAATGAAGCGGATAATTGGTCACGAAATAAATTTTCTTGCTCGATACATTTTCAAAATTTAATAATTGAATTCATTTTTCATTATCATTCTAACGCGATAAATCGATTTTACTGAGAAAAAAGTATATACATTTAGTAATACTTTATATTCTGATGATTTACTGCATAATATGCTGTTGTTATTATGAAAAATTATTTTATTGTACGAAAAAGAAAAATATATATAATGGCTTTTGCGAGATAATAAGTTATAAAAAATTCGGGTATATATGTAGGAGTCGAAGATGGTGTGAGAACCAGAAGCAAAGCTGAATCGCAGCCTTACGAATGGACTTCGATGCCTGTACTTGTAAAAATATTTAAAGTAATAATCAACGAATTAGCAAATGATATTGAAATCCTTAACGCCAGTCAAAGTCAAGATACAGAGGTAAGTAACCCGTTTTCTTTTTACATACCTGTATTCTTTATGTTTTATTTTCAATTTTACTTTATCGCAATAAAAACATAATTTCAATGTCTAGAACTCTGATGACGAGGATGAGGACGAAGACGAAGATGAATTAATAGATCCCGGAAATGAGACTGAAAACATTTTACGTAAGTTGTATGCGAAGAACCTATGTTATACAATCGCTAATAAAAGAAAATGTCATTGAATATGACTCCTTTGTAGAATTTGGAGGCGCGGATGAAGATAATGATGACGAAGAGGATCCAGAGTTATTGCGGGACTCTATTTACCATTTGAACCTCGGTCAATATCTGCGTGATTTCCTATTGAATTTCTCCACTCATCATTGCTTCCGCGTGTATATCCAACACCTGAATGTGCCAGAACTAAAAGTCTTGAATACCATAAATATCAATGCGCTTATGTAATATGTAATAGGAAAATAATTGGAACAATTTTTGAATTTCATAATAAACGATCTTTTCTATACTCCGCGACAACGTTCATTATTTCCATTATTATAAATGTTGTCGCCAATTATTTTCTTGTATTATTTTGACACAAGATCTAAAAAAAGGATTATTACAAGTACAATTACGATAATCATTGCAATTTGTCGCCACCATTGCATATATTAATGCTATATTTTATATTTGGGTTTTATTTACATTACACATATTTTTAGAATCGTTAAATCGCATCTACATACAAAAGACAGCATACATACGCGCAATCGTTTATATGTAATCTAAATCATACAACATATTTTCTACAATATTATAGTATCTAATATCATTCCTGATGCATATATTATGCAGTAAATTCTCATTAAAAAGTACGCGTGACAATCGTTTTATCGAAGCATCGCATATTTGATTTTCGCACTCATTAGATTTTTCTCTTTTCCATATACGCATGTACATACATACTTTAAAGTACATAGAGTCACAGGGCAGACATTATTGGCAGTATGGGATTCTAGTATTTGATTGTTTTCTGCAGGGAAAAAATAATCTCGATGCATATACGAGTTATATGCATGAGAATAAAAAAAAACAGCTTTTTTACACTTATACCAGAGATATATCCCCAATTTCGAGTACGTATCATTCACATATTACGTCCATTCTCTAGCTACTTTACAAAATCATGTAAAAATTACGCAAAACAGCGTGCTATAATCTGTAAAACACACCATTCGATGTTCACGAAAATAAGTCAACAATGGAATCGACATTAAGGCGATGGTCCTCTGATACATTGCCCTGCCACATATTTTTATATCATAACGCACAAAACAAAAAAGATAATATTGATTATATTAATATATCGCTTATTATACATATCTACAAATTTATAATTACCGTCTCTGCGCATTGAATATTTCACGTGTATAAAATAATCTACGTATATTACGGCGTCATAAGTATTTACAAGATTGATTTAGGGCAAACGTGCTGTATAAACTCCACACATGTCTATAATTTAGCGACAATTTAAGTTCCCTCGCTTTATTCAGTGTTTTTTAACATGTCCTTTTCGCATTTTTCATTTTTATTATAAAATCACAAAAATGATTGAATGTTCCGTATACTACACATCCAGCAGAAAATTAAATATAAATATTTTTGTTGTTTTTATATAATCAACGTTAAATTACATCTTTTTCGTGTTAATAATCAAAGATATCACATGCATATATATATATATATATATATTTATATATATACTTGTGTTATATATATTATAAGAACTTTGCAGTGTGATCGTCGAATGAAGTCTGCGCGCATTATATATATATATATATATATATATATATATATGTATATGTATAGATAGAGAGAGAGAGAGTGCAAATAATCTTTGATTATTCAAACAAACTCTAATCTTTAACATTGCCTTTGCACGATGCACAAGCAGTTATATTCATACGAATTATATAAAACAGATACATAAGTAGTGTCACGTAGATAATTCGGGAGGAGTGTTACATGCGGTAAAATATTTTAATGTTTTTCTCGTACTATATAAAAGTCATTCGTAAAAATATATCTTTGCGCGCGATTTCCTATATTTCTGCGCGACGAATGATTGACTTGGAACGAACTAGAGACAGAGCGCGCAAAGAGTTTGCTTATACCGTAGTAACCGATAGCAGACCCATTAATTTTCCCCCCGTGCCGGGACCGTTTGCTCCCACCCTGTTTCCGTGAACCAACATTTCTTGTACGGTGGTGAAATCATCTAGGGTCGTCTTTTTACGCGCCATTTTCTTGTGACTGAGTTCTACGATGTTTAAGGGCTTCTTCGATCCCTTGTCTTCTATATGTTCGCATATTAGTAGATCGTTGGTTTGTTGCATCTGCTGCTGTTGCTGTTGCAGCATTAGTTCCTGCTGTCGTTGCTTGCGCTCACGCGCGCGTTCCAACTGTCGTTTGCGCTCCTCCTTGCTCCAGTAGCGTCCGACCTAGAATAAATATGTAAATACATATAATGAATTGTTTTTAATTGAAAATCTCAAAATCGGAATTACTATTCAGATATACTATACAACTTACTTTGTATATTTTTTCCAGGAAAGAGAATTTATAATCTTGTTTTTACATTTGATCAATAGTAGATTTTTTGATTAGTATCAATCACGACGACGCTCACCTTCATCTCCGACATGGCATCGTCCTCTGTGGTGTGACCAGCTCTCTCTTCGCAGATCTTGATTGCCCGATTTCGTAATATCCGATTTCTTACGGGCCTCCTGGCGATGTACCTCGTCCCATCCGCTCTCCTCTTCACCTTCCACTCCATCTGCACCTCGCCCTTGTCCTCTGGCGGTGTCCACGTGGTGGACGTGCACACCTGCTGACTGCCGACAAACTGGTACTGCGTGAGATTCGGCGCCTGAAAGTTGCCGTGCGACTTGGACTTTCTCGCGCCGCCCGCCGATGTTTCCTTAGATGTTGTGATGTTCTTTCGATTGAGCGCCTGCTTGAACAGCTGTTGCTGCAACATCATCGTTTGTTGCAGATTTGCCACGTTCGTATACATGGTGTCAGCTGGCAGCGTGTTGGCGTTCATCGACAAATCATTACGATCTCTGTGATGATGTGAGGACGACGACGAGCTCTTTCTCACACTTTGATTCTTCGACGATTGTCTGAGCGTCACGGACGGCGCGGACGTCGCGCTTGGCGTCATAGGACAATTGCAGCTCAGCTTTTGTTGCTGTTGCGGTGTCTTCGGCGGCGGACACAATACCAACGTACTCTTATGATGATCTCTCTCGCCCTGTTGAAGCTCCAAGGTTAAGGGATTGCTGTGGCAAGACTCGCCAGTGTTGTACGCGCTCGAGCTGTCCTTCTCCTCGCCAGAACTGTTGCTCTTTGAAGAGGACCACTTTTGGTTCTGTTGTCCACTGGCAGACAGGTGATTCTGTGTTGTGCTGGCTTGGCCACTGCTGTGCTGCAATGGCGTAGTCGCATGGTTCGATTGCTGCGTCCAATGCTGGTGATGTTCGTACGGCGACGAGTAAATTGGCTCACTGTCCGACTCCGGTATCGTCTCGTAGATGTGCTCCGTGTCGCTCCACACGTGGCTCGAGTAAGCTTCAACGAGCTTCACCGTCGGCGTTGGCGGCTGCGGGGGTCCAGGTTGTTGGCTGCGTAGCGAGATACCCTCGAGCCTCTTGGAGCAATCCTTCAACGAATCTTGCATCCACTGTTTGTTACGCTCTTCCGTGTGATGTGCCGGCGAAGTCGCATTCTTGCCGCTTGACTTTTGCGAGTTCTGCGACGAACATGTGGACGAGGAGTTCGTGGAGAAGATGTTGATAGACTGCTGCTGTTGCTGTGGCTGCTGCTGTTGTTGCTGTTGTTGTTGTTGTTGCTGCTGCTGTTGTTGCTGCTGTTGTTGCTGCTGAGTATGAGAAGGTATAGGTGGAGGTGCTTTCAAGGTGCAGTTGTTTATCTCGGTTTCTTTGGTACGTTCCTCCGTTTGCTGCTGCTGTTGACGGATCAGCTGCTCGATCATGCTATTTTGATACGCTGGCAGGTTCTCAGGCGAAAGCGGCGGCGACCCCTGAAGCGAAATGGTTTATGATAGATAGATTACGATATAGCGTCTTGCTGAATACTTTTTTTTTATCACTTTACATTCAACTTACTTCATGATAGATGCGTCTGTCATCATATTCGTCGTCCTAAAATAAAATGGGTAAATTAGTTTCTAACATATAAAAAGGATATCTTTTATAGATATTTTTTATTTCATAAATATTTATTTGATATGTCTGCATATTTGCATGGCAATTTTTTCTAATCTTTATCATATATTTATATCTCTTATATTTTTTTATTATATTATTTCAAAGTTTACTTCCTTATAATTTAATTTACATAATTTATATATGATAAATACTGCAATAATAATAAGATGAATATAAGACTAAAACGAACTTGATATACGCATCGGCTGACGAGAATTGTCACCGCAGTTTTTGTCTCCGCGAACAAGTTCTCAGTCTGCTCCTTATTCGCGACATCCTTGCCGTTGACCTGGAACGAGAGCAAAGATTCCTTTCAATAAATGACGGCCGGTTCTTGATTTCCGAAATGAGTCACTGTTCTCGCGAGAGATGTACATGCATAATGAAACGCCGTATTCTGAATGTAAATCCGACTCAGAGAGACCCCTCTGAAACCCCCTGGTTCGTGAGCTGACTCTCAACGCAAATTTCTCATTCCAGAATTTACACTTACAATAATAGTGCAACTAAAATAAAAACGGACAAATAATTGTGATTTTAATCATAGAGTCCTGTGTCCGTGTATAATTTGTATTTCCTAACAAAAAAATGCGAACGCAGACATTGTTTTCTTTAATCATCCAAGGAGAGACATGCCACGTCTTTAAAAATAATAAATAAAAACGTAGCCAAAGTAAAAACAAAAAAAAAATAATTTCTGAATTCAAAATTTTAATCTGATGCGATTTGCATTTCTTGACAAAAATGTAATTTAATTTAATTTCGTCTTTTTCTAATTAGTCAAAGATTCAAATTCCTTCTTTTCTTCGAGGGAATCCTTAGCACGGAGAGAAGTCATGTTAAATAGGCTAAGATAATTTTCGGTAAGATGTCGAATAATGTCACACTAAACCAGAGACGGGAGAGCTCATTGACAAAGGAATCTAGAGAGACAGACAGACAGACAGAGGGTGATAAATCCATCATATATATTCATTCACTGTACTCCGTCTCATTTCCCTTCGACTCGAGTGCGAGAGAGAAAGGAAGAGGCAAGGCAAGAGCACGGTTCGTAATTATAATCTATCTAATGAGATTTAGAGGCTTATGGAGCTTAGGTGAATCCTCGGCGAGGATAATGAGGCGTCAACAGGAAATTCGCGAACGTCATGGATCCGTTGGGGATCCGTGATGCAAAATTTTGCAATCTCGGCCAACGACGTGATCTTCGAACGACGCGCACACAAACTCGGTGCAAATTCGCTATTATTAGCTGCTAGGAGCTTTATATGCGGTATGTTTGTATTATTGCTCCTCGGGGATTTCGCAGGCACTTCCGTGCTTACCTCTGTTGGCCTATTAAATTTATACGATACGTTACATACTATATTATCCGTAACTTCCCTCACTGAATTCTCGTTAAACTTTACCGTATTATTACGTGCTTTTTACTCATTCGAGATAAAGTATCACGTCCGAACTAATGGGAGATATTTAATTTTGCTGAATTAAATCTTCCTGGAAATTCTCGCAGTTTTACGCTTTTCAGATTTTATCATTTGAATTTGACGAAATATCGCGGTATTATTTCTATATCCAGATGACGTAAAATATAAAATTATGAAATTATCGAATTTTATGTAACAGTTTCTTTCTCATTATTGACAGTGTAAATTCTGACGTGTTACGAGTTCTATAGTTGTTTAGATTTTTTCTTCAACTTTGTGAGAATTTTTGGCGAATTATATATATAGTATGATGTTGCGATAACATTTCTCTCTAGAGAATGGAGAATGGAATTTCTGAATTTACCCGCAAGATTTGATCTCCTTCTCGCAGCCGACCGTCCCGGGCTGCGAGACTTTCAGGAACTATTTCCGAGATATAAACCTCTGTGTCGACGTCCTCGCTGCCGGAACCAGAACTATAGCACACGGTCAGTCCAAGCTTCTCGGCACTTCCGCTTTTCCGCAACGTCACCTCCTTCAACAGCATTTCGTAACGATATTAATGTTCGCCACGGTAGATAATGTTGTACGAAACTAAATGCACTCGTATTTGCATAGTCTTCCTCGTCATTAACCGATATTATCACCACTTAACAAACACATTAGGAAAACGAGATATGCTCTGCTACATATGTATAATAACACATATTATAATTCTCATTTAACAGTATTTTCTTTCACATTTTACTGACAAGCGCAACTCTCTTTCTTCTCTTTGCTTTTTATTATATCGAATATTCTCAAGAATAACACTTTCCACAAAATATCGTTTAAAAAGATGTAAATTCATTAACGGAATAAATTTGCATCTAAATCATCCTCCATCAAATAACAAAGTTTCAAACAAAATTGCCTCGAATATATTTAGATATTAGGACATAATAATAAGATACCTCAAAGTCGATGTCATGAGCAAGAAAGTCCTCGAAGCTGTCGTTCGCTTGTTCCTCGACCAGAGGACCCGGCAGCAACTCTTCCTCCTCTATGAGACCAGCCCAGTCCGTTTGGACCGCAGTCGACACCAAAGGACACGCCGTGTCCTTCTTGACATCGTCGTTGCACACACGTTCTTCTATCGGACCCTTTCCGTTCGTCGTTCCCTCGCTCTTATCCTGACATACGATCCTTTCGTGTTCCTTCGAGGGTGTGTGAGGAACCTGTTGCCCAGGTTGTCGTCGAAGGACTTCGACGATGATTGGCTCCTGGGCCGATTGAAAGCAGCGCACGGCATCCTCGTGACTAGAGTTTGAAACGTCTTGTCCGTTTACCTGCGCAAAAAAAGGAAGAAAATCAGGATTATATTTTCAATATTCGAATTTCGCATAAATTATAGAAATGTGTGTCAAAATATCGAACGCGTCCTCTCTATCGACGAACGAGAGGTTGCAACAACAACGTACGGATTATGTCTCATCTTTCTTCCACCCTCTTCATGCCTTTAATTAAAATATACTGTTCCCAGAAGGAAACATAGAGACACCTCATCGTTCCTCATAATTGCTTTCTTGCGCTTTAATGTCCAATTAAATAAATAACTCGATGCGAGACGTCGTCAACGGGGAACGGCGTGGGGAAATGCTGACGACGAGAGGATGGACAGGGGTAAATGAGGATGGTGGTGCTGGGGGCGCGAAGACGTCGTCGATCAGAAACATAGGCGGATTAATTAAATGACACGCCCGATGGTCTAAATTAATGCACGTAGGCCGGTAATTAATTTTCAAGAGCAACCCGTGCGACAAGTCTTTCCTTACAATTCGGCAAATTGCTTTCTCCTCTTCTCTCGCCGAACTGCGCCGGTGCAAGATCATTTTAATCTTCCGACAAATCAGACGATAAATTAAGCATCAATATCGCCTAGCTCGTAATTATCAGCACAATTTCAACTAGAATTTTTTCTTATATATTTTTGCTTTCAAATAATTAAATATCGAGAAAACGTATCGATAGATATTTGTTTGACTCAATTATCAATTTAATCGAATCAAGTGCAAGATCATTTCAACGTCGACAAATCAAACGATAAATTAATCATCAATATCGCCTCGTAATTATCAGCACAATATTTTAACTAGAATTTTTAGTTCTATTTTTGGTCTTAAATAATAAAAAAATCGAGAAAACGTATCGATAGATATATATTTGACTCAATTGTCAATTTAATCGAATGAAGGAGACATTTCTTTTTCATCGTGCAACATTAGACATTTAATATCCCGCAGAGAGATCCATTAATTGCGGATTGATACGTATCGGTTTAGCGCTCCTACTCGTTCGTTCTAAATTGCTTTCCGGGAGGAACGGCGTTCTAATTAAAGGACGTAAACGTCCACGTGAAAAATGCTGGTCGGACCATCGCATTCTGGTCAAGGAAAGCGCTTTTGTACTCCGGCGAAAAAGCCCGAACGATATAACCCTCTATTAACTCTAATTCCTCCTCTGGGTACGGTCATAACGTCCGATCAAACATTTGCCTTCACCGGAAGACCTCCGGGATGGTCGCGCTTATACCCGGTACCAGGTGGCACTTAATTTTGCACTAAATGCCAGGATTTAAGGATTTGGAACCGAGAGAGGCGACGTAACGAGCCGAGGACCCTCGACGTTTCAATTTGGAGCTTACAAACCGCCAGAGTGTATTCTCTACGCCGGATAATGATAGCCTGGTGGTGATTTCCTCTAATCGAGAAAAATCTTTTCGAAAGGTTCCATCAAGAGCTTGTAACCCTCCATGAAACCCCGGTGTATATCAATCATTATACGGATAACATTAATAACATTTAGAAAAGGTGACACACTGAGAACAGAATTTATCTAACGATGACATTTTTATTTTGTTAAAGAAAATAAGAAAAGAAACAATTTAATAATTTCGTGTAAAAGTAAATGTAAACTCTCAAACTCTATTAAATGTATAATTATGTTACATAAAATTATTAAATTATCTTCCAGCTTTTCTAATATCGTTATTTTAGATAAATCGCCAATTATAATTATCATTATATTTGTATAAAGACGCATACACTATTTTAATTATTATTATTTTTTTGTTGTTGTGCAATCTCTCTTGTTTTTATTTTAATTTTAAAACTGCCATACCAGAGCTCTTATCAATACGTATCATGTATATCTATAGTTTGAAACATAATATAGCAGTTATAAATTGTTACTCTTGATGGAGAGCAAACGCGGTTATTTTTCAAATATGGATAGTCGTTATATTGATGGCTGCAAAAATATCGCCAACATGTATTTACTAAATCAATACATACTAGTGTATCGCGAACACTTGAAACATATAGTTTTGATTGTGTCCACAAACGGTCACAAAATGGAATTTCTAACTGCTCACTTGGCTGTTAATTTCCAACAAAGGGTTGAGAGATTCGCAAACATTTACACTTTACCAATCGTGATATTGCCAAGTGCTGACGAATTCCTTGCTAATCAAAAGATAAAGAACCATGGAGTTATTTATTTGTAATTTGAAAAAAAAATTGGAAAAGTCCAATCTTTTTTGCAATTTTCTATTCTATCGATATTTAACCGTTTCTCTGATTGGAATTACATACATATATAAATACGCACACAGTCCCAGCACAGCCTTTATTTTAAAAACAATTATACGCGTGAAGATAAAATACTTTTATTTTCAATCGCACGTTACTTACACACATATACGACTCGTTTAATTAGAAAGAAATAAATATTAATTTTGCACTTCGAAATTCGAAAGCGCGAGAAATTTGAGTAAAGTAGTTTCTTACACGATGTACTTAACAGCATTTTCACAGTGTAGTTGTGCCGCGAAATTCTCAAAATAATCGACTCACGTGGAAAGCAAGTTCGCGGTATTGTCTTTCAACTTTTGTCTAGACGATCTAATGCTTCGTCTCATCCTCCTGGTTGTCGACTTTGCAAACGAAAGCTATGAACAATGGTTTTGCCGCTCCTACGCAATCTATTAAAATTAACGAGATCTGGCGTGAAACGTTTCTCCTCCCTGAAATTATTTATCCTCCAGTGATCTGTCGTTTGTTACTTTTTCGCAGATTATGAATCTATTATGCTTACTTTAGCTTACGCGTTCCAGGAAACATCCTTCGGTCTTATTAGATATACGGAGAGAATTTTCTCTTATAATTTACCCTGAAAATCATTGTAATCGTAAGATAATATGGCGTTGGAAGAATTTCATAAGAGTTTCTCTGATTAATATTCACCACAATAAAAAATATTAATAGGTATATAGAAAATTTTACTATGTACATAGTAAAATTAATCGAGTATATTTTCTATCCTATTGTGGTAGATATTAATATTTTATTGTGGCAAATATTAATAATCAGAAAAATTTATAAAATTCTTCCAATACCATATCATCCAATACCAATCATGTTCCACGATTATCATGATTTTCAGGGTAAATTCTAAGAGAACATTTTCTCCGTGTAGAAAAATCTAGTATACCGCCTGTTATGTTGATAATAATTAAAATTAATGACATTCGCGCCAGTTTGATCAACAGACTTTCCGACTAACTCTTTCCAAACAGAAATCTGTGTTACTTTGAATTCCCCAGCGGTTAAATTAATTCGATCTTTGATCATGGTTGCAGATAATGTTAGTCATTTGCAAGATACGCATTTCTGCCTTTATACACGTTCTTTTCCTTTCATATGTCTTCCGGACATGTTGATGTCCTCGCACTTCAATTATTTGTAAAACGCGGTTATAAATCTAACACTTTTGTACTTCTTTTAGCTTGCGCGTTTTAACGGGATATCCTCATTAAATAGGAATTTTATATATATAATAAAATTAATGACATTCGCACTACTTTGATCATGATTGTAGATAATGTCAGTTATTAGCAAGAAATATAAATTTACAAATATTTATCCGTGTAAATATTTATCAGTTAAAAGTTTTTTTTATTTAAACGGACTGCGATAATTAACTAAAGAAGAACTCCGTCTTTTCTGATTTTGCCAAAAACTTTACAATATAGTGTATTTTTGTGTCTAGAATACAAACCTGTTAATTAAAATTGTTGCTTAAGTATGAAAAATGTTACGATGGATTAAGTCCTCGGGCGTGGATTTTAATTTACAAATTCATGAAGAGGATTTTTACACAATTATTATTCAAAATTTAAGTAAAAATTAATGAGACTCGCCGATACAATGCTCAGCAGCAAAGTTGTAAACTATATAAAATATAAATATATAGATATTGAAATTATATAGTAAAATTTAAAATCATTGATATTTCGAAAAATAATTAATATAAAATTATTATTAACATTGAGTTTTAGTAGTAATAAAAAATAATAAATAAATTATTCATTATATAGTTGCCCGATATCACCCCGAATCTCCTCCTCGAATAAGAAGCTTCGAAACATTTGTACTCGCATTAATTTTTTTCGTTCGCGACGCCCGAATTTTAGTTATCACTATCCTCGACGCATTTCGGTAAAACGCGAGAGTTTATTTCAGAAATTTTCGCGTCGAAAGTGCCCGATGATTCTCACGGTCCGCCCTCGTAAATTCGCGCGCGCAAACTTTCGGCGGCGCGAGCCGGAGCTGTGACGTCATGTCACGTGATCTCACGTAAAGGCCGGGAAACGTCGAGCGAGATTCGCGGCCGACGAGATCGATCACGATATCGATACGTGCGACACGCGATTGAATTTATACGATAATTAACGACACTAATTAAAGGCGCTAATTAATACACTTGTACTTTCGCGGACCGATAAGTGCGCGAACAATGCGAAAGTACACCAGAGGACAGCAACATTTTAGGTTGTAATCGAAATTATAAAAATTTTAGGTTGTGTTCGAAAATAGATTCACAGGTGCAAAATTTGATCGACCAATCGGAGATCGAGGATCTCTCTCTCCTGATTGGTCAATCGAGCACTTCACTCCAAGTAAATATATTTTCGAACACAATGTAGATTGTTGATTGCCCTCTAGTGCACTTTCTCATTATTCGCAATTAATGTTCGCGCGCTTTTCTCATCACCGGCCCGTGCGAGTGCGAGTGTGAGTATATTAATTAGTGTCCACGTTAATTATCCGTATGCATCCGATCGCGTGGCGTGTGCCGACATCGTAATATGTGTAGTGACCGATATAATATACGATATAATTCAGGAATATCGGCAACTCTTGAGTGCGTCGCGGAGGAAGTTGCCTTCGTCGTTCGATGAGGCCCTCCGATAAACCTTGAAAAAAGCGGCGCATCGATTTTATTCGCG